TGGTGTCACCCGCTTCCCGGTGCGGTTTGTCACGGCCTTCCGGCGTCTTCGACGTGCAGGAAGATTCTCAGAATTCGTCAGCATCTACACCAACAGTCACCATCGCTCCGTCCACATCGCCTCGGACGGTGGCCGCATTTGCAGACCAATGATCATTGTAGAAAATGGACAATCAAGGGTCACTTCGCAGCACATCAGAGAGCTCAAAGCGAAGACGCGAACCTTTGACGATTGCCTTAGAGACGGATTGATCGAATATTTGGACGTCAACGAAGAGAATGATTCGTATATTGCGCTGTACGAAAACGAGATGACCAGCTCGACTACTCACCTGGAGATCGAGCCATTCACGTTGCTTGGCGCAGTAGCGGGTCTCATTCCCTATCCGCACCACAATCAGTCACCTCGTAATAGTGAGTTTGCGAGTGAGTGCTGTAGCTAGGTTCAATTTGATACTCAAAGCACTCTCTCTTTCTGGTGCAGCGTATCAATGTGCCATGGGTAAACAAGCAATCGGTGCCATAGCCTACAATCAGCTCAACAGAATCGACACGCTGCTCTACCTGATGGTGTATCCCCAAAAGCCTATGGTCAAGACCAAGACCATCGAGCTCATCGGCTACGACAAGCTGCCCGCGGGCCAGAATGCGATGGTGGCGGTGATGTCCTACTCTGGCTACGATATCGAGGACGCGTTGGTCCTGAACAAAGCTTCTTTGGACCGGGGCTTCGGGAGATGCCAGGTGCTAAGGAAGCAGACTGTCCAGTTGAGAAAGTATCCAAACGGCACTTACGATCGTATCGCGGATGCGCCCGTTGACGATGCCGGTGAACGACTGAAGCGTTACACGACACTGGGCGTCGACGGCATCAGCGGAGTTGGAGAAGCTGTGAACGAGCAAGATATCATCGTCAACAAACAGACACCAGCAAATGCCAACGACAACTCCGCAGCTGCATACTCTAGCAATTCAACCGAGTATCGCAATGCACCGATCACCTACAAAAATCGGGTACCTTCCTACGTCGACCAGGTGTTGATGACAGATGCTGATGCGGACTGCACTATTGTCAAGGTCTTACTGCGTCAGACGAGGCGACCAGAGCTTGGTGACAAGTTCTCATCTCGTCACGGTCAGAAGGGAGTATGTGGACTGATCGTGGACCAGGCAGACATGCCGTTCACGGACCAGGGCATCAACCCGGACGTCATCATGAACC